ACTCAGTTGACCCTCACCCACTCCCACTGCCAGCTCTCTGTAGGTCTCATCCTTCCTCATCACCGCACCAGAGGTCACTCGGTGCTGTACCCTCACTGAGGCCTCCAGGGAGGTGTAGGATAATATGACAAGGAGAAGACTAAGCCTTTCCTCAATGTGACCAGCTGGTGGAGCACTCAGAAGAGAAAGTGGGGGCCAGAGGGCAGCATGATTTTCAGCACCATTGTGGCTTAACACAGACAGAAGCCTGGGAGGGCAGGGGCGTGGAGCAAGAGACAGAGGGAGAAGGTGACTGTAGCAATGGCGAAACCCCTGGGGTGTTGTCCTACTGTGTTGTCACCTAGGATGCAGGTGACCTCTGGAGAGCCTTTCTAAGCTTCTCCCTCATAGCCAGTGGACCAGTCCAGCCGGGTGAGGCACAGCCACTACATTTCCACATGGTCCTCTTGTGGACCACTGCTCAGAGGTCATCTACGCCAAGCAGCAAACCTCTGCAGAGGCCAAAGGCTGAGCCTGTTGGCCAGAGGAGACACACATGTGGACTGGAGAGAGAATAATTCTTTGACCTGTAAAAGAGAATAGGGATGCCCAGAAGAAAGCCAGGAAGAGGAGCTCCGGAGAAGCTCTACCCAAGGACAGATGGAAGAGGCTGTCTCACGGTGGCATCTGGGCTGTCTGAAAGACTTCTGCAAGCCCACTGGGTGGATCCAGGCTGATTCTTAAGGCAGCCGCGTCTCTAGGGCTGATCTGGTGCAGGCTTCTCTCACAGAGCCTCCTGGGAGCCACACAGCAGACACGAGTTTTCTACAGACCGAATCTCCTTTGCTTCCATATGCAAAGATATGTCCTTTCCTTCCGTGTGGACCAGTGGACCCCTCCTCTCCCTGTCACTCCATCTCTCCATCTGGAAGGCCCTAACGCTTGCTGCTCGCAAAGCATGCTGTGTACACAGGGTGCTGTGTTTCCTCCAGTTCGGAAGGTCTAGAAGATGAAACTCAGCTCTGTGCTCTCCTGGCCTCCCACCAGTGAGTTCTCACCCACTACGCACCCTTCTGTGGCCATGCAGATCCCACTGTCCTCAAAACAGAGCTGTCCCTCTTCCGCAGGGCCAGGTGCTTTCTCTGTTTTACACTGTAACTTCCAAACTGTAAAATGTATCTGTATACGGATACAGAATATATTCTGTTATATTTGACATGCTGAATTGGCGAACATAATCTTATACACGCAATCTAAAATTCCAACAGATGTCCGCTACCCAGTCATTTTAACATCACACAAAAGTCACGACAACTCCTTCCTTCACCCACAAAGGTGCCCTTGACTTTCACTTTGCTTTTCCTTCTGAGTGGTCAGCAGATGTGGGCATCTGTCCCTCTTCAGGGACAAGCTCCAAAAACCAATCCGGGGGAGCCCAGTCAGTCAGGGCCTGCTTGAGGGAAACAAAACATTTGCTTATAGCTTCCTGTCTTTCTCTAAAACCAAATTTTGATCAGCTCTCTGGATGCCAGCCTCCTCCCCCAGGCAGCCTGTCTGGCTTCTTGAGGGAAAAAGCCTAAGAGTTCTTCCTCTCAAGGAACTGCTCCCTTTCAGGAACCCCACTCTGAAAAACAGCATCCGAGGTCCGAGAGGCCCAGCATAGCCATCTTCCACGTCTAGACACTAACACTTTCCAGCGGTCCCCGCAGGATGAAAAAGGGTGACACAGGACACGGGCACAGCACACCTGAGAGGCAAGTGTCCCACGCGATCCCCATAAGACAGGGAGGCAGCCGCCTTCCTTCCCTTCACACAGGACCTAAAGGCAACACAGCTGCAAACCAGGGTAGTCTGTCATAGCCAGATGGCCAACAGGTCACAGACAGGTATTTAAAACCTCCAAGCGCTCTCAGCCTGGCTGAGATGCGTGGTCAGTTCGCCCCCCCCAAGGGGCCACATGGTCAGCCCCTCCCCAGGCCTTCATCATCCGGGCTCTGCAGCCCCTTCAGCTCCCATCTGCAGCCAGGCCGAAGTCTCCTCCAGCCTCCTCTTCCTCAGTCAGGGCAGCACGTCAGAAAGCTGCCAGGCTCACATGTGGTACTTTAGCACCTTTGGGTGACACATTCACTCTCTGGGCCACTAGCATTCCCCAGTCAGCAGGGTTCCCCCAGTCAGCAGGTCCCAGGTGGTGTCTGGATATCTCTGAAGCTGTCTTCTTATCACCTGGTACAATCTGGATTCTTATTTTAATGAGCCTATTTTGCATATGTATGCGTAATCACAATCATGCTATGCAGAGAGTGTAACTTTTTTTTAAAAAATGCTGGTTTCCTAACCTGCAGAGTAAAAGGTAATTCCTACCTCACAAGACTGACTAAGCAGTACAATAGGAACTAACATATTGCCTGCCACATAGGAGGCGCTCAGTAAGTCAGATGATTCAACTTAAACATCATTAGTAAGTTATTAATTCATGCTCAAAGCAAAACTACTGATATAACCATGGCAGGAATTTTTAATTTTGTTTATAGTTTGAATGTATTTGATTGTAAATTTGATCAAAGCCCGTCTATGCTATCGAACAATTTGTTTCAACTATTCAAAATAAATATTCATAAAGAGAAATGCTATGAAGAGAAAGGGAGGAAAATATAATTTCAGGATGTAAATGACTTAATTGCTAAAAATGAGCCTTATTTTAGCTTCATGTTTTCTGATAGCCAAGGCAGAAAGAAAAGCAGGTGAATTCATGGGGCTCCGTGTTTGATAAACAGCTCACATTGAGAAGCTTTCTCCTGACATTCAGATCTGAGGGGTGTGCTCAAAGGGCGCTGGACAGCACAGCCTGGACACCACGGTCACCTGGGGGCAGAGGCTCTCCCCTCCCCAATGATATTCCATTGGTATTGATGGTGAAGGACCCGCAGGCCAGCCACCTGTGGATTTTTTTTAACTCGGAGTTAAATTACTCCGCTCTATTTCAAAACATGGGTTAGCTGTCAGGTTTTGTATTTGTGAAGCAGCTTGGTGCTTGGCTTTGCTGAGTGTCCAGATCTTGTCCTACTTAAGCAGTCCACACGGTATTGCCAGGTTGCCTGAACTGTGACCAGAGAGGCCCATGGATGGGGAAGATGTGGTTTATCCCGGGGGGATCCGCTTTCCCAACGCTGTCGAGGAACATCTCCACAATACAAAATCTTCCCTGGGAAATCCATTATCACCCAACAAGGGGAGGCCCAAGTGCTGACAGGATTTATTGGCTTTGATTAACAACAAGGAGCTTGTTTGGGAGGTAATCAGAGTCTAATAGCAAAGCTACAAAGCTTCCTCCAGGAAATTCTGAGCAGACTAAAGGTACTAAAGTGCAACTGGATCTAACCATTCATCTTTGCAGACCTCCTGTGCTAACAAGCCAGGGTTTAGATCAGCACAACCAGCAGGTCATCAAAGGGAAAAGTGGCTCTCTGCATTCTTAAATGTCCAAGGAGAAAAGACCACCACACAGTGTGACCGCAAGTGGGTACAGACATGACTTCAGCACTTACCATGTTGCTGAAGGCTGTTGGCGGACATTGCAATTCAAGTGATTGTACCTCAAATCGTTTTACATTTACTATTCAAATACCCATCACAACCTCAATGCTGGCAAATGTTTTCAGAGCTCTGCATTCTTAAAACTGAGTTGATTCTTAGATACTGTAGTCCTTTGACAGTAGAAGATGCCTCTCAAAGTCATTTTCACAGCTTGGAGATGTTAATATACATGTGATGGCCCTTAATTTGAAAACAGGAGGGACAAAGTATTTCCAGCAATATTTAAAAAGTACTGTCATGATGAAATAATGGCATGAAGACAGCTACTCACCTGGCATTGCTAGTCCCTAGGTCAATAGATGCCCCTCGTGCTATGCACATGGCATCCATGTGTCAGTATTTGCAATCCCGGTATGCACACCATGGTACCCAAGGAGTACAAAAGAGTCAACTACAGACTCCTCCATGGGAGGGAAAAAAATTAAAAGAGGATCATTTTTTAAAAAACAAAAAAGTAAAGCCACTTATATGGTTAATTCTAGGAAAAACACAGGTGCTTTCATGCTGCTTTTTCTACCCTGGCTTTACTCTTGCAAAAGCTACACTTAACATTAAGGCCCAGATATCTTCCTGTATACATCATCAGAAGAATCTTAAAATGCCCTCCAACTAGATATTTCCACTTAATTACAATTTATACAATCCAATATCAATTTTCTCATTGTTTTGCATGCCCTGGCCTCAAATTAATTCTTTTAAGTTAAAAAATTACAAAGTCATATCACAGTATTCCCTCAGAAAAACATAAAACAGACATTCTCTCCAGGAGAAAGTGTAAACCTTCAGGCCATGGTTGGAGGGTCAGCTGGCTTTCTGTGTCTTGAGACTTCCTGCAGGTGAGTGCAACTTTGGGCCAGCCACTCAACCCCTTTAACCCTCTGTTTTCTGCCTTTAATTAAAAAGGAGGCTGGCTCAAATTCTCCTGGCATCTTTGGGCTCTGAGGTCCTAGGGTTCTTTCATCTAAAAGCATATGCAAAGGCAGTTGCTGTTTATTCTTTAAAACTGAAACACTTGAATTCTATACGCAGAAGTTTGATTATGTTGGAAACTGGCTCAAAAGAAAACAGAATCAACAACCTAAAGATAAATCCTATAATTGTGATGGTGTAGAGTGTATCAAATATCATGCTGACCCAAGAAAACAAGGAAAACAACATAAGACACCCAGAAAAAACTTATTCCCCTTACTGTGTTGGCTTGAAGAATAAACATGAACCTCAAATTAACATTTCAACACTCAAAGCCGCCTGCTCAGTAATCTCCTGGGCTCACTGCAGGCTGTGCAGGGTGACTTACTGGCCTTGGCCTGAAAGCAGAAGCAGCCAAAGCACAGAGCAGTGCTGTTACAGAACTCTGAGAACTGAAGTAAGAAACGCGTGTTCAGAGAGGAATTTAAAGAAGCAGAACATCAGGGTCTGATACTTACTTGTGGCCCAGCTCATGAGCGATGGTAAAGGCCAAATTGAGACCATTGTCTTCGGCAAGCACACATTTCCTCTTAGCACTGCACACACCTCCTAAGTAAGCAATTCCTGCAGCAGAGACACAAAACACATCCTCTTCAGAATGGGGGAGGCCCTGACCTCCTGTGGAAGTCCTCATGGTCAGCATCACACATGATCGATTGCAAGAAGGGCCAGCAGAGGGGCTGGTGCCCAGGGGGCTGGACCTGTAAGTCCAGAGCTCTTCTGGGACTGATATGTGTGTGTGATGCCTTTGCATGCACCTTATAACAACAGCAGCCATGAACATCCACCCAACACTGAAGACTCGTGTTGAATGGGTTACGCACATTGCCTAATTTAATCTTCATGACTAAGAATGAGGGAAACAGATCCAGAGAGGAAAGTTAACTTTCCCAAGATCGGCTTGGTCTGCTGGATCCCAGCAGCCTGCACTAGCAGGGCTGAGGCCAGCAAAGAAAAGTGTCCATGTGCCAAGTTTAAGGGGGCACTTCCTGTTAGAGGCAGATCCTGTATCTTGTATACCCCCCAAGGAGGAGAGCTTCCTTAAGTTTTGCACCCTGGGCACCTTGTGGCTCAACCCAGAGCTGGCCCTATAAAGATCGATGCTGTTCTCAGGAGCTCTTAGGATGTGAGCTTGGATGCTGGCTGGGGACGACAGAGCGGCCCCAGGTGTGCTGTGCTGCACATTCTGGATGCTTCCTCATCCTCCACAGAGACAGTAGGCTGGAGCCAGGGAAGAGACAACAGTGGGAGAGTGAGGGCCTCCAAAGTCACGGGTGACGCGCAGACCAGCATACCCATGTGCATACATACTCGCACCTGTGGCCCTCACCTGAAACAGGAAGACCAAGCACACACCAGGAGGAAGCCAGGCAGCGCAGGGAGAGGTGTGAGCCAGAGGTTGCACACAGAGGCCTGCAGGCACTGAACTGCTGAACAGTGGTGGCCAGCGATGGAGCAGGGATGGGAGTTTTCCAGGACGGAACAATGCTTCTTTTGGAGGAATGTATGTGAACAGCAAGGCCATCTTTAGAATGCCAGGCAAGGTGGGGAGTAGCTCCCTGGCCACACATCCAGAGGCTGGCTCTCCAGAGCACCCACTGCCCATGCAGCTCTTTACACTTTTGTTTCTGCACTCAGGACAGATGTCCCTCACGCCAGTGTCCCTGGGAAACTACCCTTTGCTACTGAGTCTACTCTTTCGTGAGCCTCCCCCAGTAACTCCTGGGAGACAGATAGGCCAGTAGGTATAGGGTGGCTAGGAGACAGTGCCTTGGTGGCCTTCCCTGTGCGGTCCCACCAGATGTAGCTCTGCTAGCAAACTGCTGTGCAGCTGGAGCCAACCATGCACAGATGGAGTTCAACCCAGCTGCACTCTGCCCGCCAGCTCCATGCCATGGATGAGCTGTGGGGAAGGGAAGAAGTCTCTTCAATGCAGGTGCTGTCCACCTGCCAAGCTACATGTACCTCAACCCAAGGGCTCCTTCCGCTAACTTGCAGGAGTTAAACTCTGATAAAGAGTTGGGAGAACAGTACGGGGAAGTACTGTATTATAAAGGACATTTCCTCCCTAAGCCAATACCCTCCTTGTTGACACTGAATCCAACTAATCCCCCATGCATGAAGCCAATCTTTAGCACTGCTTTTCTGTAACTGCCACCTGCTACAGATGGTCACTCTTATCTTCTTTCAAGGGAGCAACAGAGAGAGAGTGCATCATCTGAGTGGGTTCCATAAAAATAAAGCTCTAGCTGGGGTGTAGCACTTGCTAGCATGTGTGTGGTACGTGAGGCCCTGGGCAGCATCTCCAGTACAAAACCAAACAACCCCAACCACAATGAAACAGATGCAGAGCTCATCCACATGCAGGGCACATGCTCCATCAAGTACAGCAGAGCTCGCTTGGCTGGCTCTGGAGGTTTGGTTTGGAGCTATGAGCAGGCAACACGGCTTACAGTTTATACAACCACACACAGAGTGCAGTTAACTGTGTCTATTTTTATATGGAAGCATGCAACATGGTTGGCCAATAAGGAGAAATAAAGAGGAAGAGGAAAAGGAAGGGAAGGAGGAAGAAGAAGAAAATGATGAAGAGGAGGAAACAGCACCAGCAAACAAAAGAATGAAGAAAAGAAATCAAATTTTATTGGATTTGAGGCACTTTTTTTGCAGGTGGATACCATAATCCATCAATGCAGACCACTGGAAGGAACCAAATGATAACGACAAAGAATGCACTTTGGCTTCTCAGTGCCTGTAGGGCCACTGTTTAAACATGCTTTGTGGATTGCTGCTGAAAGCCCACCGGTGAGTAGGTGGAACATCACCACATAGCCTTCACAGTTTGCACACACCTGCACACACACTCAGACACACATTTGCTGTGCCTCCCCCAGCCCAGGTCACAGCCTCTCTGGGTCAGTGAATCAGTTATAAACAATCAGATGTACGTGCCCCCGAGAAGCTGCACAGAGAGGAGGGAAGGGAGACACGGTAAGGTCAGATGTGCTGATCTGGCTGCCCTAGCGTGCTTATCCTGGGCTCTGCTGCTGAACCAGCAAACCGTAAATGCCACACAAACACTTCCCCAGCCTGGCAGCCCTCTGCACCAAAGCAGGAAGACCTGACTTCCCACTCTGATCAGGTAGCACACAATGCTAGGGAGCAGTGGTCTTCTGATAAGTGCGTTTGGATTTGTCCAAGGTGCAAAAGAGTTTTTAAACTAGAAAAGTTTATTTACAAAAATTGCCTTTGCACCAATGGCTCCTGCTTTTTAACAACTGATTACAATGGTGACTGGCTTCCTTATGAAACCAAGCAAGAGCAACTACATAAGAGAAAATGGTTTCTGATACAGAGCCCAAGAACAGTGTGAGCTTATGAGCAATGATATGGAAACACTTTGAATGTGCAGAACCAAGTCTGGAGAAAACCCCAGGTTGTTGTAAAAGTAGGAGCTGTCGGGGAAATAAATGGGAATCGAGCCATGGGACGTCAGCGGAAAACAAAGACACCAGTACTGAATGCCTCAACAGGGCCGTGCTGCCGGGACACAGTGCAGCCTTTCAGAGGTGGGGGAGTCTAGCGGGAGGGAATAGGTGTTTGGGGCGTGGCCCTGAAGGATTCTGTGGGACTGTGGTTGTTGCTTCTTCCTCTGTTTTTAACTTTCTGCACAGTAAGCAGTCAGTTCTGCTTCACCCTGCCCACCACGGACACTGGGTATCCATACGAGAAGCCTAAAAACACAACGGGTTCACCTGACCGGGGACTGGACGCTCTAACATCACGAGGCAAAATAAACCTTTTCTTCTTATAAACTGGTTATTTGTTACAGAAAGCTGACAAACACATCCTCCCATTATTAATGCTAAAGAAACCAAACTAGAAAAAGTCACCAAACTTCACACTGGTCCTTGTAATGAGGAAAATCTAGGGATTTTTGGTATTGATTTATTAGAAAAGGTTGCAAAAGAAGCTCTGCCAGTGTCAGTGCCGATGTGGGAGAGTCACAGACTTTTCCACCGCAGTCCTCCATCAGCGTGGGTTTCTTAAGCTCTGCAATGCTGCTTTCTAGGGCCTTCGGCTTCTGTGATTTAAAAGTGGTTAAAAACATTAATTCCATATGTTGGCATAGCTCCTTGGGATAAAGAGGAAGCAGAAAGTCAAGTGGCATCTATTGGTGTGATTCCCTGGAGGAAAGACTCCTTGTCCCTCCTTAAGGGTATTACAGGTCTCCTGTTACAGATGGGAAAACTGAGGCTCAGTAGTCAGTTACAATTAATCAGTGCCCAAAGGATGATGAAAATACAGGGTTCTCCTCTAACACCCAAATTCCTCCATGCAAACCTGGTACCTCCCTCACCAGAGCTTGGTAACCAACAACAATCAGTAACTACTGAGAATTTAAAAGATTTTTCATAAATCTTAATGTTCACTTCTGTGGAGATCTGAGTGAAACAGAGTGAATGCTTCAGGTGCTAGTCCAAATGTTTTTAAGCCTAAAGATCAGAAGATTAAAAGATAGGCCTGTAATATGAACAGCAGTTACCTCCAGGATGCGGAGAAGGAATCAAGAGATATTTCTAATTTTCTCCTTTTATTATGAAGTCAAATTAAATTAATCATGTTAGGCTTAAGCTTAGGACAGTTAATGAGCTCACTGCTATGAAAATTATTGCTGATGATGTTCCATTTATCCCAGGCGGTGCACAGCAGTCAGGGAGGCAGGAGACCAAAGCCAAAGGAAAAAGCCTTCTGGACTGGCAGTTTCAGTGTGCAGGCCGGGCAGCTGGTGGCATAGGAAGTTGATGGTTAACTAATACAAAACCAAATTGTGCTTGTGTCCTAGGCAGTGGTTTCCCCCTGTACTGCATTTCTGGCACCAACCAGGGAGTAAAACACTTTTTGAAATCTAAAATGTAGTGGGTAGAAATGGAGGGCCGTGGAGGGCTGCTCTGATGTGTGAGGGCATACCGTAGTCACTCAGAGAAGGGCACTGTGTCCACCAGCGCCCCCAGCCTGCCTTCTCAGCCTTCCCAATGGCATACAGGCCTGCTCTCTCTTCCTTTCTCTCCTTTTTCTCTGCAAAAGCACAGTTTTGGAGGAGAGATCACATGAGGACACTTAATTATTTTCTTTCTCAGTAGAAAACTGCACAGTGTAAGCTTTCAATTCATAAACTCCCAGCTGACCATTTGATCCTCTTTAGATTGAAGGAATAAACACCACCCAACTGTATAAACTTGGGCTTATCCAATAAATCACTCTGTGGGACACTTTGCAGCTGTTAGCTTTGCTGCCCATTAGTCAGACCTGCACAGGATCTCTCCACCTTGAAGTGAAGTAGTCAAGTTTCTCCTGCCCACTGTTCAAGGCCCCACCATCAGCAAGGTTACCAAGGATGCCATGCTCTCAGTGACAAGAGAGAAATTCACAGGTGTTCTCTTGGCAGTCCTGTGACTGTCAAGGCTGGCTCACTGGATGCATGAACAAGTGGCGGGAGCAGTGTGACTGTGGAAGGAGCATTTAAGGACAAACATCTTAGAGCCCAGTGTGTGCCAACTCTT